TGGGCTGTGTGGGGCCCGTCAACATTCCAGAGAGCTATGGACATTGTTCTAAAGCCTGTCCTAGGAAAATCGACTTTAATTTATCTAGATGATATAATTAAAACGATTAGTACGTTGGAGCAACATATTAAAGGACTTGGAAGAGGTTTTTAAATTATAAAAAGAGGCCGGTCCTACAATTAACGCATCGAAATGCAAGTTCGCGACAAAAGAACCTAAATACCTGGGTTATAAAATTTCGCAAAAGGGTATAGCAAATCAGGTTTCAAAAATAAAACCATCAGGAATTTCCCACCTCCCAATACCGCCAAGAAATTTTCTTCTTTCCTCGGGTTATGTTCTTATTACCGGTCGTTCATAAAACATTTCGCTGATATTGTTGAACCGTTGTTAGTAATTAAAAGAAAAAAGTAAGTTTACGTGGACAGCAGAAGCAAATACAGCTTTTGAAAAGTTAAAAGAAGCACTCATCAATGCCCCTGTTTTGAAATTCCCTGAAGGGGACAAAAACCTCGAAATTACAGCCGACGCGTCGGACTATGACGTAGGTGCGGTTCTCATGCAGAATGGGTATCCTTTGGCATTTTTTAGTAAAACCTTAAATTCTACTCAAAGGAATTATACAGCTACGGAGAGAGAAACATTAGCCGTATTAATGGCTGTACACAAATTTCGAGTTTATTTCGGCAAAGAGCCAGTAACAGTCTTTTCGGATCATGCGGCTGTTCGTAGACTTTACTCGGGGTAAAACCTAACGCCCAGTTTAATAAGATGGGCTTTAAAATTTCAAGAATATAATCTAATAATTAAATATAAACCGGGTAAAAGGAAAACAATGTTGCTGACGCACTATCTCCGAATAAAACTGGACGATGAAGGCAATGAACTCAAATGCGCTGTGTTGACTTTTGTTTCTCTAAATCTAAAATTTTTGAAAAATTTTAGATTCTAGAGAAACAATTATTGCTGAATTGAAAGCTGATCCTGAATTTGGAAGTATTTATGCTTATTTAAAAGACCCCGAAATCTTTGAACATACAGATGTCGCCGCAATAAGAAGTAGAGAGCAGAAAACTATGAAATAATAGATAATTTATTGTTTTTATACGAAAGCAACAAACGAAAATCTTCGAGTATCAAACCAGTCATCCCAGCCTCGCTTCGATTAAGCATTTTGAAGGAATTACACGACGCGAAAACAGCGGGTCATTTAGGGGTCAGAAAGACTTTAAAAAGGTTACGCGAGGCGGTATATTTCCCGCAATTATACAAAATAGTAACGGCGTATGCCAGGTGTTGCAATCAATGTCAGTTAATAAATGATATTAATTACAGCCCGGCCGGGTACTTAAATAGCATTCGTGCTACATTTCCGAATGAAATTTTAGGCATAGATCTTCTTGGTCCTTTACCCCAGAGTGAGTTAAATAAAAATCGTTTTCTTTTAGTAATTGTAGATCATTTTTCAAAGTGGACAGAAATTGTTGCACTTAAACGCGCATCAGCCAAAACAGTTGCAGATGCTTTTTTACACAGGTACATACACAGGTAAAATACGGTGCACAGATAAAAGTCATTAGCGATAACGGTAAACAATTCGTTAGCCAAAATTTTGAAAACATTTGCTCTGGACTTGGCATACGCCACATCAAAATGGTTCCGTATAGACGACAGGCAAACATCGCAGAAAGAGTTAATAAAAATATTGTAAAAATAATTCGAAGCTATGTTAGCACACATCACAAGCACTGGGATGGCTACATAAATGAGTTAGCTTATGCTTTAAGAACAGCAAATCATGATACTACTGGAAAAACTCCAATAGAATTATTTTGGGACGTAAGTTAATTACGCCACTAGATAAATTATTCCTTGTGCAACAAAAGGAATTAGAATTCAAACAAAAAGATATACAGAAACTTATTGATCACGCGGTTAAAAGCTCGGATACGGCAAGAAATAAGCAGAAACTTTACTATGATCGAAAATGCCGTGAACCAGATTTTAAAGTAGGGGATAAAGTCTTAAAGCGGAAATTTTTTTTATCAAGTGCCCCAGACAATTTCACTGCAAAATTGGCTCCGAAATTTGAAAGCCCCTATGTAATACAGGAAATCAAGAGAGTCGTATTGTACCTTAAGAACGAGAGAGGGGAAACCTGTGAAGCAAGTCCCGACCAGGTGAAAAAATATTATAATCAAAATGATTTCGTAATCCTTAAAAGTTTCTTCCAGGCCTCAAGTGCAAAAGAAGTGGAAATCCCAGAATTAACGCCGGCCGCTCCACCACCCAAGAAGCAGAGAAAAGAAGAGGAACCTAGCCCTTCTGCAAATCATTCTATGGTCCCGAAAAGAAGGAAAGAGTTTGGTCAGACTCCAGCAGTCAAGAAATGCAGGAAATCAACGCCGCCTCGAAAAGAATCTTTGGTAGACAACAACAGGAAAAGACCAGGTACAACATCCCGCAGCAGAAAATCTGTGTCGAGGAAACCACTTCCAGGGCCAGATAGTCAGAAACAAACAAGGCCGCCGTTCATGAGAAGAAAGAGACAGTAAGAGGAACGAAAAGATTGGGACTAGCAGAAAACATTCAGGCAGGAATCCAGACCGGAGGCCGCCAAGACCAGCTGTCCAGGGGCCGGGCCAAGCGGAAAAGACAGGAACCCGAAGACTACCACCCCAAAAGGCCGTCGTACACAGGACGAAAGAGGAGAGTGACCATGGAGGAAATTGGAAGAAATAAAAAAAAGGAGGTCAATTTCCATGAATTCTGTAACTTGGGATCAATTCTGCCAGAAGCGGAGTTCCAAGCATCGAAAAGTCAAAGATAAGTTAAAATCTTCTATGAATTTTTCTTTTGTTCTGAACTATTACGTGTAAATACGAAGTTCTATGTGTTGACGGAAGTCAATTTGTCTCGGTTGAGACTTAGTTTTGTTTTACTGTATTTAGCTAAAGCAAAAGCATTATTTTCTTGAAGTGTAATATCTAAGAACAAGTAGTTCATGTTGGTCGAAAGACTAGTTCTGTTATGTTAAAGCCAAAATTTGGCCGATTCGTACTGTTGTATTAATGGAAAATTTAGTTTCAGTGCCACCAACTTGGCGAAGAAAGCGTGAAGTAAAATTTTATTTTCTCTTGTTCATCTTATTGTAAATTGTAAAAATCATATGTATTAGAATTTTGTAAATATAAGTAAATACTTTAAAGTTACGTAAAAGTAGAATTTATTCCAGAAGCATAACATTTTAGATGCTAAAGCTCGGATAAAAGTAAATGTCAGATACTAAAGTCAGAAACTTAGTGGTCTGGTTTAGTGGTCTGGTCACGTGCAGTTGCTCTGCGAACATATCGAACGTATGGATGGTGAAACGACAAGTCGGCAGCTAGCAGTGTGTCGTCGACAGCGCATTGATTTCAGAGGAGAGAGGAGATTGCTGCTCATTGTTCGCTGTGATGTGATCGAAGAGCTACAATCGCCGAAATCAGCACCAGGTCCAACAGTGGCGACCCTGACAGTGTTTCGCAACACATTGTTCAGAGTATATTGCTGCGTATGGGCCTACGCTGCCGGAGGTCGAAGCATATCCCTGCACAGACCGCACGCCATTGCCAGCTGCGACTGAAATGGACCAAGAAACATTGGAAGTGGACATTAGAAGACTGGAAGCAAGTTGCATGGTCCGACAAATCGCATTTTCTGGTCCATCACATCGACGGATTTCTAAACGATCTAATACGCTGATTTCTAAACGAATCCCTGGCTCCCGGATGCAGAGTTGGACGGAGACAAGCCGGTGACGGGGGTATTATGGTGCGTACAATGATTTCATGGAGCATATTAGGACACATAATGCCATAGAACAATCCTTAAGGTCTGTATGCTATATGAACATCGTTGCAGACCAGGTTCACCCACCCATCACAGCGTTATTTCCGGCGGCGGATGCTTTTTACCAGCAGGATAATGATCGATGTCATAAGGGTTTAACCGTCAGGGAGTGGCTCGATGAACATTCCAGTGACTTCACATTCGCCTGACATTAATCCAATAGAGCATTTGTGATCTTTCCAGGAAAACCAAATTCGTGTTGCGACGCTACTCCCTAGCAATGTGCAGAAATTCCAGGACCAGTTGGTGAGCGCTTGGTGCCAGATACCTCAGACTACGTATCGGCATCTTGTGGAGTCAATGCTAAGCAGGATGCTGGCAGTTTTGAGGGCTAAAGGTGGTCCAATATGTTATTAATAGGGTGGTCATAATGCAATGTCTCTTCGGTATATATATATCATATGTATAGCATATATATTTAGATGTCTTTAAATTTCAATAAAATGTACAGATTTGCCTAATTTAATTTACGAGTGTGTGATTAAGTATATTATTTTTCTGATTATAATTAATGTTTGTGAGCACCATGATTTTTCTTTCGTCGTGTATTCAATACCTTTTTCACAAAATAACAAATTGAGCGGTATTAAAACTTAAAAGTAAATTTATAAATCAAAGTTAGGCTGTTGTTTCCATTATATTTTAATTATGTGACAAATGCTTTCATACTAAATTTCAATAAGTTTTTTTTTTCTTTTCTTCTCTATTTTGGATAACAACATTGTAAAATCTAACTTTACTTAAAAACAGTGATAAATAATCTCTAACCTAATTTGCCAAAAAATATGAAGCTCACATACTGATACTAATAGCTTCAGAAGGTAAGAAGTAATTTGACTTTTCCTATAACTTGATCATAGTGGATTTTCAAAACTGCCTAATACATCAAAGTGTTTTTCATGAAATAAGAAATGAAATTCGCAACCTGATTCCATAAAAAATTTCAAACTAAAAATAAATCTTCTAATATAAATGATAATCGTTAATTACGGAAGCTCTAAGTAAATAAAAGGAACGAAAATATCTAGAACACATCTAGGTAATTTATTGTAACATGATTAATAACTTAATTTAGAATATTTATAAATAAACTCGTAGCATAAGATTTTTTACAAGATTGCCTTGCCATGTCCACCTCCAAGAGCCAGGTTTCCAGCTCCCAGACCGAGAAGCCCGTTGTCATTAGCAAGGCGGGGAACAGCGATTCCGTGGCCTACTACACCGGTACCGAGAAGACCGTTACTGATCAATCCGTTTCCATAAGCGAGAGGAGCGGCAGAAACTCCGTGACCAGCAAGACCCAGTGGTGCAGCAGCCACAGCGACAGGGGCAGCAGCCAAGGCGACGGGAGCAGCAGCAGTTCCAACAGGAGTGACGTGGTTGATGGTAGTTCTGGAGGAGGAGACTGCTGGAACGTTAGCTTTTCCAACAAAGGCTGATGCACTACCTAATCCATACCCGGCTCTATATCCATACCCGGCTCCCAATCCATATCCGGCTCCATACCCATACCCAGCTCCCACTCCATATCCGGCTCCAATAAGACTAGCTTGTGCAGCTGCAAGGGCAGCGAAGAGAACAACGACCTGGATAAAGGAAAAAATATGTTTAAATATGTAAAATATGTTAATATAAAAAAATAGTGTGTGTATAATTATTATATAATGAATCTGAATTGATATATTTTGTGCATTTTTGCTATTCGGTGTAATTTTACATCACGACATGAATTGTCGTGTTAGTGTGAATGTTGTGTAAACAGTTGAAATTTCTATCAAATACAAAATAAGTAAAGAAAACAATATCAGGTGATAAGTTTTTCATTTTATATAAAATTAAGGTGCAATAATAATGGTTATTAGGTAATATGTGGTGAAGAAAACTTTAAAGTCATTTTTCTCAAAACATGATTTTTCATTATTGCGCTCATCATAACAATTGAAAGATTCAATATATTTTAATGAAAGTTGTATCACAGATACAATATGTAATTTGCTACAACCTGAACCTAAAAATTTGCAATTTCCATTTGTATTTTGTTATTTTTCTGGGTTCTCAAAGTAATAAAAAGTATGCTATTTTCAGTAACATAAAACCACTGTTTTTAAAAAATATAAAATTCATATATATTTAAAATTTTAAAGGTTCAAAATTATAATAAGGCTATAATAAATATATTACAGGTGAAAATATTTTGAAAAAGCATATAATTTAAGAGTAATCTTGCGCGCAAGCTGATATTACATTTTCAGATTACATACAGTGCCATATAGTTTTCAGCATTATTAAATAATTTTTTTTTCTATTTTATAAGCTTAGTCAGATTTTTAGATATAGTATTTTAAGTGTCTTCTATAAAAAATTTATTTGTTTCCTGTTTATATGTTATGAGATACAGTAGTTTGAAATGGTCCAATTTACTCGACGTTTTAGCCTTTTAAGGGAGGTATGACCCCTTAAATTATGTAAACAATTAAGTAATTATTACATGTTTTAAATATCAGTTAAACTGTACCGATATTGATTAATTTGTCGGTTTTCACTAACAGCTAAATTTGAAAGATATTTGCTCATCATTTATCAATAAGCAGGAGGTATATTTTTCAGATTTATCAATCGAAGTCTTAATATCGTAATAATTAATAAAAGATTAAATTTATAAAGTAACTACAAATACACTCAAAATTTGAAACATTTTGAATGAAAACGCTTTATAAAATTTGCGCAAATTATTTTTTTTCTCGAGCGCTGAATAATAATTCATAAAATATAACCTACAACAGATATTGCATCCTATTCCAATACAGTTAGAACGAAAAATCGAATTCTGCATGTCACCACGACTCTTAATTTTTGCTAGCATTATCTACACCATGCAATATTTAAATGTGTAATCATGAGAAGATTTTTATTCAAGATAATTCTAACTACTAGTGTGTTAAATGTACATATGTTTTGAAATTTTCCATTTTCAATATTGGCGGGTTTATTATCTTACACTATGTGATTATTGATTAATGGTTTGTTCAATAAGTACAGTCTGGTAATAAATAGAGTAATACACAATTTTCAGAAAATTCTCTCCGTAATTTCTGACAGAAGATGAGAGGTAAAGGTTTCATGGATTCCACTCCTTCACTCGGGACTCGGACTAGACCTTGTTTCCATGTATTTTGTCTGAATCAAATAACTCCTTCTAACTCAGCTTTTGATAAAAGTTTAGTTTCAGATATCATTAGTTGGTCTCAGATATTTGGTTAACGCAATATATTATAAAATTTGCAATTCTCTATTAAAGGAAAAAAATTCGTGCGTTAATGTATATTAGCTCAAGATATAAATTATAATTATCAAACAATCATAAATCTTTCTTCGAAAAATATAAAAAGATAATTAAATGTTCTTTATAATTAACATATTTATTAAAAATTAAATAATAAAAGGTGAGGTTTATTTCCAAATCATGGTACCTTTTTAAACTTTTCGATTACTGAGACTTCACGTCTCGATAAGAAATTAATTCAGAGAATTTATATAAGGTATTACATCTTACTCTATTGAAATTTGTTTTGGTTTCTAATTCTTTTGATATCAACAATATCACTCGAACAATAGTATCAGAAATAGTACTCAAACATCACAAAGTTCTAATGCTTGGTGATTATTCACATTAACTTATTCTCTGAACATGAAAATAGTCTTAAACTGAAAATGTATATCATTGTTTTGACGTAAAGTCAGCTAAACTTTTATTTTTGATAAAATGGCATGTAAGATTTCATATTATTCATTTCAAACTCATTCGTTTCTAGTTTGATTCGTTAAATTTTTAAACAGTTTGTTTTTAATCTCTTTTAAAAGAATTTCAGTATATTAAAAGAATAATTACTTTTATTTTAGGCTTATGGAAACTATGCTTTCAATTATGACATCGTTGACAAACTCGGAGCTTCCAACTCCCGATCTGAAGTAGGTGACGGTTATGGAAACAAGAAGGGAGCCTACACCATCCACGACATCGACGGCAGAGCCAGACGCGTAGACTACGTGGCTGATAAACTTGGATTCCGTGCTGCCGTCAAGACCAACGAGCCAGGAACCGCTGCCAGCACCCCAGCAGCAGCCCTCATCGCTAGTCCTTACCCTGGACCATCTGTCGATCACATTGCCCCTGTTTCCACTGCAGTCTATGGACACGCTGTTGCCGCTCCAGTTGTAGCTGCTGCTGCTCCTGTTGCATATGGAGGTGTCATTGGACATGGACCAGCTATGGGGTATGGGTATGGTCTGGGGTATGGATACGGAGCTGGTATTGGAAAGGCTATAATCCATTAAAACATAAATTTTCTGATTTCCCCCGAAGTCTAATTTATAATTATTGTAAATCGTAATTATGTTATGGTGAATAAATCATTTTATATCTGATAAATGAAGAATGTGTAATTTCAAGAATAGAGTTTTATAAATGCTTTCTGAAAAGATAAAGTTGCCAGTACTGTTGGGTATGATATACGAATTGCATCTTTATTACACTTTAGACATGCAATAAGTTTGCAGTTAATGCATTTAAGTATTGAGGCACAAAAGCTGCCCTCTAAAAAATTTTCATTTGTACATAACGTAGCTTACAGATTTACAGACATACTTCAGTAATTATACAATTGTTAAAATGAAAGGAAATTATAATATTTTAAAAAATGAATTGAATTTTCTGATGGAAATTTTTCACTTGTGTTCGTTATTAAAATTGTACCTATCAAGATTTAAGTTATAGCTAAACTTTATTTCTTACACATTCCTTAGAACAGCATTGCATAGAGATATAGCAAATAGATCGTTCATATATATTATGATTTAATACTCAATAAAAGCTTAACAAAGTTTAAGAATGGAGTCCATATATATCATGAAATATTATCATCATTCATTATCAATACGACCATGGTCATAAATGTTATCAGCATGGTCCATGGACTCTCTGTATCAGTAAGTAGGAATTCAAAACAAAGTTATCGTTTCCTGTGACAAAGGTCTCTTTTGGGTAGCAGTTATTGGATCTGATGATGACAATTTCAGTACGTTGGCACTTTTATTGTCTAGAAGTTTATTTTATACCAGGTATATATCTCAAATAAACTTCGATTTTAGACAACAAATTCTATAATTTTACACGTAACAGCTAGAAATTCAATTAAAATATTTGAAAAATTTTTAAAAATCTGAAAATTTTCTGATTTTAAACTACGTCTATTGCGGCCTTTGTTTAACGTTTTGTGTGCTATATTTATTCATTAAATATCATGTTCTTCGTACTCAAACCATAAAATTAAGTTCAACAGCAATATGGCAAAATAATTTTAAAATGAGTATACCTTTGGAATTTCCAATTCAGAGTCTCGCGCGCTGGAGATATATTTTTTTCTGTACAATGTTGCCATTGCTCGCTTTGAAATCGTTTAGTTTTTTAATCAAAAAATCGTTGAAGTGTTACAAAATATGAAATCGTTAATAAAACAAATTCGAATTCAAATTAGGGCTTCCACATGCCCATATTCTATGGAAAATTACGTTATTAAAATTTTGATGGCTCTAGGTACCGTTGTTTTATCACATTGCGAGAAACATACATACATTCATGCAGATTCTTCATTATTTATTTTTTTAAATATAATACAGGGCGAAAATATTTGGTGGCAAAAATCTGAAATGTGAATCGACGCAAAATGCCAAAACGAAATTAGCAGTCCTTCTGGGCAAATTGTATCTTTGGACTAATAACTATACAGTCAAGATCCGTTTACCTTATAATTCATATGGATAAGCTATTTAAACCTGTTTTTAAATAAAAATTTATCAGTTTTTATTTTATTCATCATTTTGATAGCTTTTTTTTACCATGTGTGTGGACTTTAAATTCCAGTGTATGAAACAGTTAATGAAAACTCACAACATCTCACAGCATCGCAAACAAACATAATAGATTGAAATTCTCAATCCTTAAGTGCTTGTTTTGGATTTCCTTCTAAAAACTGACATACTTCAATTCTTGATTCGTATAGCCTCTAATTTAGTTATTTAGCCTAAAACTCATAAGCTGATCATATATGTTATGCGATTTTCTTAGGTTATTCATGTTTTCGTGTCCGCTACTTGCAGGTGTCTCCATTAACATTATGGTACACAAAATCGGAGTAATACTCGGCTTGCTATACGTTGTCTAACTCCTAAAAGTTTTGTTCATATGTGTTATGTCTGGCATTCCCTCGTAAACTTCGCTTGTAAATAGTTTTGAAGTTAACATTACCTCTGTCATTGCCACATTTTGGTTACATAACAAGTTACAAGAATTGCATAATAGCGTTATGGTTAATAACGGCAATGATTACATAACAACGCTTTGCTTTGTGTTATTGCTAAATATCGGTTAATAACCACTATGTTAATAATTGCCATATAAACCTCTTTAGTAAATACATTTATCATGTCTACATTATTTGACATTGGTTGTCATCTACTACCTCCAAATATTTGTTGTAAAAGAATCTAAGGATTAAGGAAACTATTTTCTATACAGCAGATTGCTTCATTCGTGATGTTCAGGTTTTCTCAGGGATCCTTTCTTGGTTTTCCCCAACAGAAGTTAAATTTTCAAAGAAAATTCTCCCAAAAGCATTTCTTCCTTGGTTAGACAGCTCTAGCATACTTTATGCGGTATTCGACTAAACAAACGATATTTGAGCTGTTAGATTATAAACTGGGTGTGTGTTTACCCATCTACCTTTAATTTCAATTAGTAGACATAGTCTTTCGAGTCCTCTATCAATGATGATATTATAGTATGTAAAGGTTTATAACTGGAGATGTCTAGAATAACCATTTTTAATTTCTTCAATTTTTACGGACTTGCATCAGTAGAAATTTCCCCATTTTCCTATCTTAATAAGTTCTGTTAAACAGAGTAAAGTATGTTTGGTAATATACGTCAGCAGCAAAAGCCATTACATTTATCAGAACTTTCTGAAAAAGCTTCCTTTGAGCTGTCTTGATTTTTTCTTCTCCAGACATAACAATAATTGTTAATAGTTTGATTTAGAAGTCTGTCTATAAGAGAGTTGTTGCCCGGATTTCCTTCTTTTCTTTGCTTTTTGTAATGAGTTTTCGAAAAAAAGACTTCCTAAACTCACTTTGTTATCTATAAAAATACTGCCATCATTAAATATCTCTAAAATACATTTTGAAGAATCTTCTGGTGCACTCGTATTAAGAAAAACAATAAAACAATGCTGCCCTTCTTTAATGTTATTGGTAAAATTAATATTTCTTGAATCCGTCAGATTAAGTCCACTGCATCGTTCTGCACTTAATCCAAACTAGCATCTAAACAAAAAATATTGCGGAATCACGAGATAGTTTTCTTATTAGTGTCATTAAAAAGGTTGTTAAATAGCCAGTCATAAAGTTAATTACAAAAATTATTAAGAAATAAAATGTAAAATTATAACATGGAATAGCCTTATTTGCTGCTACTAAATGTGTATCAAAGTAAATTTCATAAACTCGTTGCAGCAAAAATCATAAAACGTTGTAAAAAATAGTTCAAAAAGCATGATGGGAATCAGGTCTTGTGATCCCGGCTATGGGAAGTTGTAACCAATATCTTTAATTTAGACTATAAAACTATGGGTTTATGCAAAATAAATGTAAACAGAGGCTTTACTGGAAAAATCGGATACTTTCCAAAATAAATTTCATTCTCATCACTGCCATTTTTATTGTTTTACGTACACTTTTTTAAAAGCAACTCTTGTTTTTGTATACGTACAGTTGCTTTTGACAGCGCAGTTAAAATGCTGCTGGTACGGAAAAATACAATAGAATTAATATTTAATTTAATATTGGTAAGTTTCTCATTTTTTCGTTTCTGTTTAGTAAATATTTTGCTTGCTGGATAATAATGTGGCATTTTCAGCATAAGCAGAAATCACTATTAAAGGTAATATTAATAATTGCTTAAAATTCATAGGCTTATCGTATATGTTATGTGATGTTCTTTGATTATTAATGTTCTCGTATGCGCTACTTACAAATAACTCCATTGAGATTGTGGTACACAACTGGGAATAATAGTGGGATAGCTTTATTTAGCGTTGATTTCAAATCAATCCTCTCAGTGTATTGAATTGCAGGTAAGGATCCTCTTTATCAGGATAAAACTATACTATCCATATTCTGACCTTATTAAAAAACAATGGAATTTTTTCTTTAGACTCAACTGAGATTTTATTTGAAATCAGGGATGAAGCAAGTTTCAGTTCTGCCAATCATTTAAAATGTAATACTTGATTTAAATTTCTGTTACCTTGACTATTTTGTTTAGAAACTGAAGATGACAATTTGTTAAAGATTTATTGTTGCTTCTATGCATGCATAGTATTACAAATTACTTTCGCATATTGGCAAACAGTTTTCGTACGAAAACGTTTTGATATAAATTTTGAAAATTGCTCTAAATGGTTCAAATTTTGATACTTTGAAACTGCGTTGTTATTCAAATTGTTTAAATAATGAAGAATCTGCATAAATGTATGTACGTTTTTCGCATTGTGATAAAACAACGATAATTAGAGCCATCAATATTTGAATAAAGTACGTTTCCACCCGAATGTGGGCATCTAGAGCTAAAATTTGGAAATTATTTTATTATCTGTTTCATATTTTGTAAAACTTTAACGAATTTTTGATTGACAAACTCAATGATTTCAAAGCGAGCAATGGCAATCTGTACGGAAAAAAAAATATATCTCCAGCGTGCGAGACTGCGTATCGGAAATTCTAAAGATGTGCCCATTTTTAAATTATTTTGCGGTATTTCTGTGAACTGAATTTTATGGTTTAAGTGCGAAGAAAATGACATTTAATAAACAAATAAATTCCAAATTTTACAAATAAATTCCGACAAATATAATTTTTTCAATTGCATTAATACCGTCATTTTAACTGTTTTTTTTTTATTCCAGATAGTCCTTTATTTTTTTCTGAGATGTGTTTACGTGAAAAACACATGAAAAATTTCTCCAATAGTTAGCCATCTCAGAATTAATTTTGGCCAGAGCCCTGGAGAAGCATTTTGTTTCAAACAGCAACACATATAGCTTTAAAATTTGCAGCTAAAATGTTTTATTATTCTTGCAATAACAGTAACAAAATAAAAATTCACAATCCAGTTTTTACCAGTTTCTAACAGACCTAACAGAAACATGACATACCCGCTCTATCTAATGCATCAAACATTTCGTGTATGGGTAATATTTACAGTCATACATTATACGGTCTCA